CCCGGCCAAAAAAAAATCATTTTAACCCTTATCATCTGCCTTTCTCACAAGAACTCCACAGCCTCCTAAACGGTCTGAGTTCTGACTTCCTTCCATCAGTTCAGTCACTAGCCTGTCTCAGGAATGGTGATTCTTCTTTTCCTTCACTAACTTCTCTCAGGAATGATCTTTCCCCTTTTCTCTCCTTTCTTCCTCTCTCTCTCCTTCCTTCCTTTCAATGCAGTGTCACTCTGTTGCCCAGGCTGGAGTGCAATGGCATGGCTCGGCTCACTGCAACCTCCACCTCCCACGTTCAAGCAATTCTCCTGCCTCAGCATCCCACGTAGCCGGCAAGTAGCTGGGATTACAGGCACGCGCCACCATGCCCAGCTAATTTCTGTATTTTTAGTAGAGATGGGGTTTCAACATGTTGTCCAGGCTGGTCTCAAGCTCCTGATCTCAGGTGACCCCACCCGCCCGCATTGGCCGCCCAAAGCATCAGGACTAAAAGTGTGAGCCACGGCACCCAGCCAGGAATAATCTTTCTAAAATGCAAATATATTTACGATGTTACCTTGCTTAAAACTCTGCCACAACTTTCTACTTTTTTCAAGAAAATCAAAACTCCTCACCATAACATTAATATACGGTCCTCTCAGACCCAGCCCTTGTCTGCCCCTTAGCCTGTTTCACCACCTTCCACCCCCAGTGCCACCGTCACCCACCTGAAGCATCCCTTCCTTGTCTGAGTCTCTGCACACACTGCAGCTTTTGCATGTCTCTCTGCCTGATAACTCCCACTCACCCTTCAGCACTCCAATTCAGTGCCATCTCTCCTGTGCAGCTTTCCTGACAGCTCTCTGCCACATATGACACAGGTGTCCTTCCTAGTGCCCTTGTACTTACCCTGTCATATCACGTCTCACATTACATGGTTACTTTGTTTTTCTAGTAGACTGTGAGCTCCTTGAAACTAGAGACTTTTGAATGAATTAATGAATTTTAGATTGCCGGTAAGGTAATTATGGCTGTAATTAGATTCTATAAGTGTAATTAGTTGTGAGTTCTTGGGACGTACTGATGATATCTTATCTTCTTCAGTTTCCCCATAGTACATAACAATATACTACAAGCATATTAAACAATAAATATGCATTGACTGATCCTGCTAAAACTTTTTCAACAGAACCGCAGACATCTAATGCTTTCCTAGGATTAAAACATTAGTCTTTTCTTCTGGTTCCAGTGTTATAACATGGTTTGACTACATTTAGAAACACTAAAAATACAAAGTTTACCTCCTGTTTTTTCCATTTGGCCCTCGATCTTCTACTCCACTCCCTTTATTATCAATCTATTTCATCTGCCTCTATCATCACTTCACACTCTCAATGATGAATGAATTAAAATCTGACTTTTCTGCAATCTCTCACACTGGCTGCAACAAATTGTAAAGGAACATTTCTGTTCTAGAATTTTACATATAAGGAAACTGAGAATCAGAAGAAATAACTTCCTTAATATATGGCTACATGGCAAATTATTCACCAAGCTGCAACCCAGGTCTTACTGTATACCATGGTACTTCCCAATCATTATTATGCTTGGCACGAACAAAAAGTCAGGTATGCAACAATTATGGGGCAAATGAAGTAAATTTAAGACCATCTGCTATTATTTATAAGGCTTTCATTAGCATATAGTTTTTAAGAACGCACCTAGCTTTTGAACTGTATTTTCTCCAGAATTATCTTATCATGACCATCTCAGATCCAATTAGAATGACAGAAGAAAACTCTAAATCCATGTAGCCATTATGCTTTACTTACATAAATGAGCAGGATGCATATTTGCACACTTTCTGCAAGTCCCTGAAGATTTCATCTGGGAGAGATTAAGAATGAAGAGCTGGCCAGGCGTGGTGGCTCAAGCCTGTAATCCCAGCACTTTGGGAGGCCAAGGCGGGTGGATCACGAGGTCAAGAGATCGAGACCATCCTGGTCAACATGGTGAAACCCCTTCTGTACTAAAAATACAAAAAAATTAGCTGGGCATGGTGGCGCGTGCCTGTAATCCCAGCTACTCAGGAGGCTGAGGCAGGAGAATTGCCTGAACCCAGGAGGCGGAGGTTGCGGTGAGCCGAGATCGCGCCATTGCACTCCAGCCTGGGTAACAAGAGCGAAACTCCGTCTCAAAAAAAAAAGAATGAAGAGCTGAGGCCGGACGCGGTGGCTCAAGCCTGTAATCCCAGCACTCAGCACTTTGGGAGGCCGAGGTGGGTGGATCACAAGGTCAAGAGATCAAGACCATCCTGGTCAACACGGTAAAACCCCGTCTCTACTAAAAATACAAAACATTAGCTGGGCATGGTGGCACGTGCATGTAATCCCAGCTACTCAGGAGGCTGAGGCAGAAGAATTGCCTGAACCCAGGAGGCGGAGGTTGCGGTGAGCCGAGATCGCACCATTGCACTCCAGCCTGGGTAACAAGAGCGAAACTCCATCTCAAAAAAAAAAAAAAAAAAAAGAATGAAGAGCTAGCTTTGGTCTCAAGAAATAACAAATATACACAGAGGCTAGAAACTAGCCTGGCAAATAGCTCTAACTTTCTATAGAGTTTCCAAGTTTAGTTTTGCCTTAGCCTAGTCACTCTCATATGGAAGTAGGTTCCACATGTTTGTTGTGGGAAATTATACTTCCAACCCAAAGTTACTTGGAGCTAGACTTCTGTGATGTGCTTTAAGAAAAGCTGGGCATCAAATCTTTGTTCAGAAAACACTATTATGACCAGACGCAGTTGCTTATGCCTGTATTACCAGCACTTTGGGAGGCTGAGGCAGGCGGATCATTGAGGTCAGGAGTTCAAGACCAGCCTGGCCAACATGAAGAAACCCTGTCTCAACTAAAAATACAAAAGAAAAAAATTAACGAGATGTGGTGGTGCACACCTGCAGTCCCAGCTACTGAGGAGGCTGAGGCAGGAGAATTGCTTGAACCAGGTAGGCAAAGGTTGCAGTGAGCTGAGATCGCACGACTGCACTCCAGCCTAGGCGACAGAGGAAGATACTGTCTCCAAAAAAAAAAAAAAAACCACCACTATACAAACAATTTATATGGGCAAAACTGAATTTTCATTTTCTTCTTACACCTTACACCTTTCCAATAATTTTAAAAATACACTGGCCAGCCACAGTGGCTCATGCCTGTAATCCCAGCACTTTGGGAGGCCAAGGCGGGTAGATCACCTGAGGTCAGGAGTTTGAGACCAGCCTGATCAACACAGAGAAACCCTGTCTCTACTAGAAATACAAAATTAGCTGGGCGTGGTGGCACATGCCTGTAATCCCAGGTACTCAGGAGGCTGAAGCAGGAAAATCACTTGAACCCGGGAGGCAGAGGTTGTGGTGAGCCGAGATCATGCCACTGCACTCCAGCCTGGGTAACAAGAGTGAAACGAAAGAAAAGAAAAGAAAAGAAGATAAAAGAAAAGAGAAAAGAGGCCGGGCGCGGTGGCTCACGCCTGTAATCCCAGCACTTTGGGAGGCCGAGGCGGGTGGATCACGAGGTCGAGAGATCGAGACCATCCTGGTCAACATGGTGAAACCCCGTCTCTACTAAAAATACAAAAAATTAGCTGGGCATGGTGGCGCGTACCTGTAATCCCAGCTACTCAGGAGGCTGAGGCAGGAGAATTGCCTGAGCCCAGGAGGCGGAGGTTGCGGTGAGCCGAGATCGCGCCATTGCACTCCAGCCTGGGTAACAAGAGCGAAACTCCGTCTCAAAAAAAAAAAAAAAGAGAGAGAAATGTTTATGTATGTGCTTGAAGGGGTCTATGTGTAGATAAAAAGGGAAGGAAAAGGTAATCACATTTGAAGTACCAAGCATCCAAATACAGTTAGTTATACAGTAGGCAGATGAAAATTGGGACCTGAGGTTCAAGAGAGATGGGGACCAAATAGATATTTTCGAAAACCATAAATATACAGGTGCTATTTGAAGCCATGAAAAGAAGTGTAATCACATAAGGAAATTAGAGAATTCAGAACAAAAATGAAACCCTAAGGAATACCACGTTAATCTGAGAAGACTAAAAAAAGAAAAAGGAAGCATCAAGAAAAGTTTTGTTTTGGTCTGGATGGTAGAAACCTGAGGATATATGTCGTCCAACAGAAAAAGAAAGAAAGAAAAAAAATATATATATATGGGGAGAGATCAAAGACGTTAGCTTTAGAAAGGAAGACTCCTCTTCCTCTGAGATCAAAGGAAAGGATATTAGAAATCAGATACAGATAGGCACAAACAAAAATTACAGCTCCTTAAGAGTTCAGGGCTGATGCCCACCAATTTCTTCTGCAAAGTTAAGAGGCAAAATAAGCAACGAAGAGAAGGCGACACAGGGCAGAGTCAGAGAAGAATGGTAAAGATCTATGAACAGCCATTTAGATTTTAGGATGAAAGAGGAATCTAGAGGGTAAGTCAAAGGATCTCCAGGATCCAGAAGTGCAGAAACAGCACCTAGCAGCTTCGTTACATGATTTTCGCCAGCCTGCCCTGGGATACCAGGAGCAGAAAAAGCTGACTGATTCATCCAGGCTTGAGACCATCAGAGCAAATGTGGCAAGAATAGCACAGGGCCAATGACAATGCTTTTACCACTTTAAAAAGTCAAATGTGGCCGGGCGCGGTGGCTCAAGCCTGTAATCCCAGCACTTTGGGAGGCCGAGGCGGGTGGATCACGAGGTCAAGAGATCGAGACCATCCTGGTCAACATGGTGAAAACCCCGTCTCTACTAAAGATACAAAAATTAGCTGGGCATGGTGGCGCACGCCTGTAGTCCCAGCTACTAGGGAGGCTGAGGCAGGAGAATTGCTTGAACCCAGGGGGCGGAGGTTGCGGTGAGCCGAGATCGCGCCATTGCACTCCAGCCTGGGTAACAAGAGCGAAACTCCGTCTCAAAAAAAAAAAAAAAAAAAAAAAAAAAAAGTCAAATGCATTTTACTCTTTTTAAAAAATCAACTCACTATTTCCTCCAAGAGCCAGTGTTTGGAGAGGGGGAGGGAGAGGAGTGGATAATTCCTCTTTCACTCTTAGAGAACTTGTCGGAAGTTTCATTCTTCAGCGTATCTGATCTGTACAGCAGCTGATTCCAGGAAATCCAAATCCTGATTCCTCCTGGATCTTAAAAGATGAAAATTCATTGCAGCTCCCTGGACAGTCCAGCTAATAAATAAACCCGGGCAACGCGACTGACATCCTCTGCCATTTCAGCTGGGAGGTAGGGGCTCTTTCTGTCCTAAAAGAAAGGTTCGCTAAACTGCAGATGGGGACGGAGAGAAGATGGGGAGTAATCACACTGCAAAGCCCACTGACTAGCACCCTAAGAATCCTGTACAGGGCAATTAACGTAAAACAACACACGACACACGGAGCGCAGAATTCTGCTGCTTCCTCACGGAGGCAGTAAGTAATCGACCACTTGATCGCCGTCCTGGAGCTGGCCGATTTCTCCTGCCATCTCCCACACCATCTTTCAGGCAGAGTCAAGTCCCTGCGGACGCCGGACCTCGTGCCACCCACCATGCGCCAGGCCTACTGTGTGCTAGACCCTGGGCAAGGCGCTTGGCGCGTTTCGGGCTGCGGCTCGCGGAAGGTCGAAGGAAGACACGACGCTACGGGTCCCGGCCGGGCGCGGTGGCTCACGCCTGAAATCCCAACGCCGTGGGAGGCCGAGGCTGAAGGATCGCTCGAGGCCAGGAGTTCGAGGCCAGCCTGGGCAACAGAGAGAGATTCCATCCCTCTAAAAAAAAAAAAAAAGCGACGGATCCGGCGTTCCCGAGCGGGACAGCGTCTGGAGGTCTGAGCGCCGGCGGAGGCGGCGGCCGCGGCGGGGGGCGGCCACGGGCGGGAGGGGACGCGGGCCGCGGCGGAAAGGCGCCTGCGGGCGAACGGGCGAGCCCGGGGACACGCGGAGCGGACAGCGTCCGGGGGGCAGGGGCCGGGGCCGGCCGCGAGCAGGGGCGGACGGGCGCCGGGGAGCGCGCGGGGAGGCCCGGGAAACGCCGGCCCCGGGGGCAGGGGCGCGGGCGCGGGGCGGGACCGGCGGGGGGCGCCGCGCCCTCCTTACCTGGGACGCGCGAGGAGCCGCCGCGCCGCCGCGCCGGCATCCTGGGCTCGGCCGCCGGTCCCACCGCCCTCGGCCGGGGCCCCGCTCGGGAGCCCGCCGTCGCCGCCAGGCGCCTGCAGCCGCAGCCCGGCCCGGCCCCGCGGAGCAGCGCCGCCGCCACCCGCACCCGCGGCCGCCTCAGCAGCGACTCCCGCGGTCGGCGCCTCGGCGCGGGCCGCCGGGGGCCGGGGCGGTCGCGGGATCACACGCGCGCTGCGATTGGCTGAGCGGGCGATGTGTCGGCCGCTCTGATTCGCGAGTTCCGGCCGGCTGCCCGCCGAGGGAGGCGGGGCTGACGATGGCGCTGGGTCCGGCGCGCGCCGAGGGGCGGGGTCCGACGTCGCCGCGGGGCCCGCGCGCGCTCCCGAGGGGCTTCGCGGCGGCCCGCGGCCCGGCCGGGTGGTTGCCCCGGCAACGGCGCGCTTGCCCCGCAACTGCGAGCCCCGACCCCACGTGGGCGGCCGAGAGGCCGTCATCTGTGAAACCCTAGGACAGGACGAGAAAACGCGCTTTTCCTGGAAATCCCGCTCCTCTGCCCGTCCCGCGCCCCGGACCCCACCTCTGCGCGCTGCTGGCGGAGGAGCCGTTTCCCGGGGGAGATAACGCCCGAACGCAAACGGCCAGCTCGCACACCGTTTCCTCCGCGCTGGAGTGCGGACCTGCAATGGTAGATTCCCTCCCAACCACGGGGGCGGGGGGAGGGTGCTGACCTCCCAAAAGAAAGACGTGAAAACCAGAAAGGGAGAAAAAGGCGAAGAAGCAAAAGAAAGGTGGGCGAAGGGCTGAAATGTCACGAAACCATCCATTCATTTTAGTTTCTTCCTACAGGCACGTCTAACTCAGGTTCTGTCAAAGCAATTATTTCAAAGCCATTGACATAGAGTAGAAAAGGCATCTAAAAGCCGTATTCAAAATTGCTGTCTACTGCACTTTGGGAAGCCAAGTCTGGTGAATCACCTGAGGTGAAGAGTTCGAGACCATCCTGGCCAACATCGTGAAACCCCTTCTCTACTAAAAATACAAAAATTAGGTGGGCGTGGTGATGGACGCCTATAGTCTCAGGTACTCCGGAGGCTGCGGCAGAATTGCTTGAACTCGGGAAGGTAACTACCTTCTTTTGCACATGGTATAATATTTTCAGAGTTCATCCATGTTGTAGCACATATCAGTACTTAATTCCTTGTTATGGCCAAATAATATTCCAGTGAACGAACATCACGTTTTTGTTTTTTAGACAGTCTCACTCTGTTGCCAAGGCTGGAATGCAGTCATGTGATCTCGGCTTACTGTAACCTCTACCTCCCAGGCTCAAGTGATTCTCGTGCCTCAGCTTTCCCTGGAAGAATCAGGGCTTACAGCCTGTTTCTTCCAAACAGTAGCTGGAATTACAGGCATGTGCCACTATACCTGGCACCACGCCCAGCTAATTTGTGTATTTTTAGTAGAGATGGGATTTCATCATGTTGCCCAGGCTGGTCTCGAACTCCTGGCCTCAAGTGATCTGCCTGCCTTGGCCTCCTAAAGTGCTGGGATTACAGGCATGGGCCACCATGCCTGACCCAACATCACCTTTTATTTATCCATTGATCCATTGAGGGACATCTGTTTCCACCTTTTTTGCCTGTTATACATGATGCTGCTATGAACATTTATGTAGTTTTTGTGTAGACCTCATTTTCATCTTTACAGCAATTGTCCAAGGTACATATTATATCTCATTGTATAGATAACAAAACTGACTGGGTATTGTGGCTCACACCTGTAATCCCAGCACTTGGAAAGCCCAGGCAGGAGGATCCCTTAAACTCAGGAGTTCTAGGCTACGGTGAGCCACGATGGCACCACTGTACTCCAGCCTAGGTGACAGAAGGAGACCTTGCCTCTCACTCAAAAGAAAAAATATATGTGTGCGTGTGTGTGTATATAGGGATAAGAAAATTCACTGTAAGAAAAAGAGAGAAAAAAAGAAAATTCACTCAGACTATAGACAGCAATTTTGTTTGTTTGTTTTTGTTTTTGTTTTTTTGAGATGGAGTTTCATTTCTGTTGCCCAGGCTGGAGTGCAATGGTGTAATCTCAGCTCACTGCAACCTCCACCTTCTGTGTTCAAGCACTTCTCCTGCCTCAGCCTCCCCAGTAGCTGGTATTACAGGCACCTGCCACCACGCCCGACTAATTTTTTTGTACTTTTAGTAGAGACGGAGTTTCACCACGTTGGCCAGGCTGGTCTCGAACTCCTGACCTCAGGTGATCCCCCTGCCTTGGCCTCCCAACGCGTTAAGATTACAGGTGTGAGCCATCATGCCCAGGCTTTGTTTTGCTTTTAGTGACAGGTTCTCGCTGTGTTGCTCAAGGTAGTCTCAAACTCCTGGCCCCAAGCAATCCTCTAACCAGTCTCTTAATGTTAAGCAAGGGCCAAGTTCCATTCTCCTTTCTACATTTCACACTTCTTCAGAAGGACTCACCATGACCTCAGTAATACAGAAGCCACCACTGGTGCACAGCCCTGACAGGCTCTCTCCACAAAGTAGAGATCGAGATTGGAGATGACGTCCCATACTGCCCAGAAGATCCTCCCCCGCCACCTATGAGACCTGGAAAAAATTGAGTAGCCAGGTGGGGAGCTGGCACTGGCCCTCCTAGCACGTATTGAACTATAAGAACCAATTCTAGACATGGGAATTCAGTAAGAACAAAGGACACGATTCTTTCAGTGAAACTCACATGGCAGGATGTCTCCCTGAGCAGAACAGTTACAGGTGACCAGGGGGCTACACTGTCTGTAGCTGACAGGGTCCAGCCTTTGAGGCAGAAGTAAGAAGCAGCTTGATCTGAAGCAAAGCTCGGGGTTATTGAGAACCAGATGAACTTTTCATGCTTTCTAAATCTGCCCCCAACACATATAGTATATGTGCTAGTAGGAAAAAAGACACCAGAATATAGTCATTTTTTGTTTTTTGTTTTTGAGACGGAGTTTTACTCTTGCCCAGGCTGGAGTGCAATGGCACAATCTCAGCTCACTGCAACATCAGCCTCCTGGGTTCAAGCGATCCTCCTGCCTAAGCCTCCCAAGCACCTGAGATTGCAGGCATGTGCCACCATGCCCTGCCTGGATGGATGGATGGATGCATGGATGCATGCCAATTTTTTTTTTTTTTAAGATGGAGTCTTGGTCTGTCACCCAGGCTAGAGTGCAGTGACACAATCTCAGCTCACTGCAGCCTCTGCCTCCTGGGTTCCCAGGTTCCAGCGATTCTCCTGCCTCAGCCTCCTGGGTGACTAGGATTACAGGTACGCTGCACCACGCCCAGCTAATTTTTCCATTTTTTTAGTAGAAACGGGATTTTGCCATGTTGGCCAGGCTGGTCTAGAATTCCTGGCCTCATGTGATCTTCCCGCCTTGGCCTCCTAGAGTGCTGGGATTTCAGGTGTGAGCCACTATGCCTAGCCTTTTACCTTTTTTTTTTTTTTAAGAGATGGGATCTTGCTATGTTGCCCAAACGGGTCTTGAACTCCTGGGCTCAAGCAGTCCTCCCACCTTGGACTCCCAAAGTGCTGGGATTATAGGTATGAGCCACCACACCTGGTCATAACTTTTTTTCAAAGGAAAACGCGTTCCTGAAAAACTGTCCAAGCCTATATGCACATCTGGTTCACATGACATTTCTATTCCTCTGCGTAATTTAATGAGCCTTACAGATTCTGAACCCTCTTTCTGTGTTTCTGTTTTCCCTCCCAGGCCGTACCTCTCCAGGTGATCAGCCCAGAATTAGATAACCTCACTAGAGAGCATCAGCCAGGTGCAGTGGCTCACACCTGTAATCCCAGGACTTTGGGAATCCGAGGCAGGTGGATCTCTTGAAGTCAGGAGTTCAAGACCAGCCTGGTCAACCTGGTAAAACCCCATCTCTAAGAAAAATACAAAAATTAGCTAGATGTGGTAATGCACACCTATAATCCCAGCAACTCTGGAGGCTGAGGCAGGAGAACTGCTCGAACCTGGGATGAAGAGGCTGCAGTGAGCTGAGACTGTGCAGTGCATTCCAGCCTGGGCAACAGAGCAAGACTCTGTCTCAGCAAACATTAAAAAAATATAACTTCACCTAAGAGTCTAGATGGCTTTACCCCCTTCTTCAGGCAACTCAAAGGGCTCACAGCCTGTTTCTTCCAGACAGCCTGCGTAGCGCTGGCACAGCCAAGAGGAGGAAACGGACCAGGGCTTGCTGCCCTCCCAGTGAGAGCTGCAAGTCTCTCCCGTCTTGGCCAGCCTTTGCACAGCTTCTGCCTTGGGAATTCATCTCTGGAGAAGAAAACCTGGCCAAGGATGAGTGAGGACTCCTTATTACAGCAGTCTCACCTCCTGGAGGGAAAGTATATGCAACACACCTAGGCATGTGTGGGCTTTGAGAACTGAAAATGCAGCATCAGCCTCCAGCACTTTTGCCATTCGGGTTGTCGGCATTGCTTTGCTCTTAAGAAGAACAGCAGGCCGGGCGCGGTGGCTCAAGCCTGTAATCCCAGCACTTTGGGAGGCCGAGGC